ACCTTCCTGTTACTAAAAGGAGAGACAAATATTCAAATGATTGCATCGGCTGGCCATGCAGTAGCCTAATCCATTGGTCCAATTCTTAAGTAAATTATTGTGTGCAGCTGTATTTCACCAATTGCTTCACGATTATTGTTCTATAAGGCGTCAATTGCTTTTGGCTTGTCGGAGTAACACTTATTTTTGACGGCACCCCATAAATAATAGTCCAACAGTATAAAATCGTAGCGGCTGATAATTCGATCTTCAAAACAGGGCAAAACATCGAGTGTATTTTCGACTGTGTGGCACGTAGAGCCGTCCTGTTGAAACCAAGATTTGCCAATATTTTTATCTTTATGTATGGAAACAAACATTTCTTCAGCATAACCCGATAACGATAGCGCCACACCTTGCTCATTTTCGAAAAAAAAATACCAAATTATTCCCCTGGATCAATATCGGCACCAAACAGAGCCTTGTTTTGGGTGCTTTGGCTTTTCGCTATATGCGTTCTATATTATATTAACATAATGTGAAATCCATGCCGAAGTTCCTTCGACTTTGAGACAACTCCTCTCCTCCTCCTCTCCTCACCAATAAATCTGTTACCCCAGCTGAATTTCGCAAAACATATATGATGATTTTGAAAACTATAAGCTTTTATTATTAAATTGATAATTATTACACTATGAGATAATCAAAACCGCCTTCAAACCCAGTTTGTGATAGTTTTTAGAACAGAAGATTCCTACCTTTTGATAAACTATTGATTTTTTTAAAATATTCCTTTTATAGCAGTAAATTGTTATTTTTCTGCCTTATCAATAAAGATACGGTTCCAATGAACCGAATCAAAAATAAATATGTACAGATTTATTTTATAAAATTGGTCTAATTACACACCCACATATATTTTTTTCTAAATTTAAAGAATCTGCCTATAAATTGACCTGCAGTTGCAAAGGACCTGTCCACGGCAAATATACCACAAAAATTCCTTTTTATCCTTTGTTGTTTAGCAAAACAGTTTTCTAAGTTGAAGAGAACTAAACATGCTGGCATTGAATGCCTCTGCGAGCATTGTTCATCACTGGATTTACTGACTAATGAAGCGTGCAATCAGTAGAATTCTCCAGCCCCCCCTCAACATGAAAAGATTCAAAAATAGCATTAGACACAATAACACATCGACCGACCTACATCCGCACAATCACACGTACACATGCAAGAACCGCCATATTTACAGGGAAATTTCCATCTATCCATCCAACCATCCATATACTCCCACGGCAGTATACATATATATTTGTTCATACCATGCCATAGACCCCCATAAAAAAACGTTACAAATTGTTAATAAAGACATTCAAATTTCGAAAATCGATAATTTATCCACAACACAACACCCACATGAAAGTCAGTCAACACCATCAACTCCCAAAGAAATGCTCGCACACAGGCACACACAACCGCCAGGATATGTGTGTATTTTATGGGTCGCCACTGGCCGTTCGCTCGTCTATATGCACGAGGAATTTGCTTAGTTATCCTTTGTTTGTGTTTCTACCAATATTCTATGCAAAGTCTTTTATCTTTGTGAGCTGCCCGCCTGCTTTGCTTCCGGCATGGTTATTCGGTCTATTTAAAGTTTCTATTAAATTGACATTCCGCTTAAATTTAAAACAAACTTGCCTTTATTTATTCGTTATGTTTTATGGCTGCCGTTAGACGCAAATGTCCTAAATGTTATGGCATTATTGCCAAGTCATTGAACATCCAATTGCCATGTTCGCCAGTTCGGTGTCGATCTCTCTCATTTGACTGCCATTAAATTTGAAATTCAATTTCTTTTCGAAGAACAAAAGGTCAGTGGAGTCGAGCGTTTTGGAATGAATTGATGTCTGTTTGTAATTGAAACCCGAAGAGAAATTTGCAAATAATTTGCTTGATCAGAGCAATCTAATTTTATTGTGTCATTTGGAAAAGATTAGCGTCAATATTTCAAATATCGAATGTTTAGGAAAATGAGAATTTTGAACTTAATCACATAATCGATTTGTGTTGGGTAACTTTCTAAAGCAGATAATTAATAAAACTTTTAGGAATAAAATTGAATGTCAAACATTGAAAATGTGTCATTTGACGTTAACAGCCAAAATTCGCCAATAACCTTGGAAACAAAAATAATAAATATACACATCCACACATAAATATATAATTTATTCAATGGAATTTGCCGTTGATAATAAAAATGACAAACATTGTATAAAAATTTGGAACATAAACTTTTAGTGGCATTCAAATTATTTTTGAATTTAACGGAATATGGCGTTGTTGTTGCAAAAATATACACATTAACATAATGAACGTTTTGAGCTGTGATTACATACTTTTAAAATTGGTCAGAAATGTCATTTGTCATTCCTCCACCATAATTTGAAGGGTATATTAACTAAAATACACTACAATGTTGATATAATCTTGAACACCATAAAATTCGATGTCGATTTAGCCATTTTCGGCCGTCCGTGGAAGTCACTCTTGCATCCAAACGAAGTCAAGGTATTTTTGGACGTTAAACCATATTTTATAACCGAATTCGAGCAGAAATCTATCTCTGTTCTGGTATTGATCCCATGTAACAGAATCTCCATATATTCGGTATTTCAATGATTTTAGTCACATATCTTAAGGGAATTGTTTCAAATTCGATGTTTGGAGTCGCCTTGTTAGGGAGAAAATGTAATGATATAAAGGGTGTCGCAACTAGAACGCACTCGTGAAATCGTTATCTTGACATAATAACCAGTTTTTTTCTTACATAGAATTGAAGAAATGAATGTGGAGGGCATGTGGTTTCAACAAGACGGCTCCACATGTCATACAGCCAGTGAAACAATTCAATTGCTGCATTAGTCACTTCACAGTCGTGTTTTTTCGGGTTTTGGAGACTAGCTCGTGCGATTTAACACCTTTAGTTTTTCTTATTTGGTTTTTTTTTTTTAAGCCGATGGTTTGCGAATAAGCCGATGACGACTCAAGCCTTTAAATATGAAATTTGACGCTGCATTAATAAAATACCGCAGCATTTATGCGAAACCATTGGGGAAAATTTGTCTGTCTTCTTTATTGTGATTCACCCGTGTTTCTGCCAGCCCTTAGTTTTATTGTAAGTATTTCCCATTTATAGGTCGCGAACCATCTACTGCACGAAAAATTAGTGAATTTTTGTCAAATTAATATATTTGAATGAACTGGTAAAACAATCCGACATTTTAGCAATTCATGAGGCGTTCTAAACAAAATAATTTTGAGGGAGATTTTGCAAAGAACAGTAAATATAATTGTATTGAAGCCCTAATCTTAGATAGCTAACAGTAGCCACTGTCTATTTATCTACTTTGGAAAAAGGAGGAAAAACGTCAAGAAATCGTTAGGGGAGAGCTAACCAATTTCAGGAGCAAATATAAAGTAATATGTCGATCAAAACAAATGAGAAATATTTTTAATCGCAAACAAAAATCGAAATATGGCTCTGGGTTGCTGGGAAATATCCTAGCCTCTATGATGAAGCTGTTGAAGTCTTCCTTTTTTAACAACCTCTTCGGTTGGTAAAGTCACTGCGACTCAAAGCTACCAATAATGAAACTGATGCTAAGCCTATAATGACAAAAAGTAGAAAACAAATACATCCTTCCCATTGAAGTAAATGTTTTGTGGGCTATTTTAGTATGCAGAGTATGTTAAGTTCGTCATTCCATTTGTAATTCTAAGTCGATTTAGCTATGTTCGCAAATTAACATAGGAAGCAAAAAAAGATGGGCTATATCGCTTCACTATATCATATAGCCTAGATATTCGGTATTTTTGATTTTGATGATTCAATGCAATGAAAATCCACACAAATAGTTCTTTTTGAGTAGTTTGCCCCCTGGATGAGAATTGCCTACATAGGTCAACGATATCATATATCGCCCATATAACGGTACCTCCTGATATTCGGTATTTTGATGATTTTAGCTCAATTTTTTAATGAAATTGTCTCAAAATCCACACAAGGAGTTCCTTCTAAGTACTCTACTTCCCCTGAAAGAGAATTGTCTGTATGGGTCCACGATATAGTGTATCCCCTATAAAACGGTACCTCCGGATATTCGGTATTTTCATCATTATAGCCAATTTTTTCAATAGGAGTTCCTTCTGAATACTTTAGCGCCTACATAAGAATTGTCTACATAGGTCCACGATATCGTATAGCCCTCATATAACGGTACCCTTATTCGGTTTTTGATGATTTTAGCGACATTTTTGACTGGAATTGTTACAAATTTCGTATTTAAAGTTTGAAGCTTGTAAAAAGTCTTCGTATAGACCCCATTTACGGTGTTCATTTAAGTGGTATGTTCCAGGTTTTTTTTTTAAATTTTTAAGATCCTTCCAATTGGTAGAGGGTATATAAAATGATTAAACTCTTGTTAGATTGGTTGGAATCTAGCAAACTTTGGGAAATAATGGTCTGAACCGTATAAGCTGAAAGCTAATGCTTTCAAATAAATAATAACGTGCTAAAATCTATCGAATTGATGTAGTCTTTTTATCCTCTAAGAGGCTCACTATGCATAATACATTCAAATTAGTATTAGTTGGGATTCCCTTTACTTCAAATTGATATACAATCTTCTGTGTTAGTGGTAGTTTGACGATTTTTCCGACATAATATCATCTCAATACCATTAGATTTGTGTAAATGCTTATTTGGCTGCAATAAAGAGTTCACTCCATTTAAAAAATTGTCTGTAGTTGAGTTTTATTAAGAATTTTCACTCTGTATTTATAAGGATTTTAATTAGAATTTCAAAAGAGTTACTTAAATTTCACAATTAAGGTCACAAGTGTCACAATTTCCAAACTCTATTGGACCACTTTGCATAGTCTCCAAACACATTCCACATCTTTACATGTGCACTTTTATTTTGCATGGAATAAATCAGAAACAAGTGGATGTTTACACTTACCTTCAAAAGGTTCCCTTGTGGTCGATAATGGATTGCACAAATTATCTACAAAAGTAAAGACACAAAAAGGGTTGCTCATTAATTAATTTCTATGGAATCAATTTGCAAAAAGAATTTAAAATTTAATTAAAAACAAATCATTTGCAATTTATATCAGAGGACGGAAACGTTAAAAAAAACTATGCCGTGCCGTTGCTGTAGCCTTCGTCGTCGCATCAAATTGTTCTGTCCTTTGTTGCCATTGTATGGCATTATTTCAATTTGCCCATCATTAACAATAATTGTGTACATCAATGGTTGTGTATGCAAATTTGTGTGAGCGTGTGTATGTGTGTGTGTGCGTATGTATCTCAACAGTCATTACATTGCAGAGGTATTTTCCGATGTATTTCATCAGATAACTGTTGTTTATTTTATTTTAATATCCCCGCAAACTGGTCTTATCACATGCATGTTTAAGCAAACTCTCAGCGTTTCGGCGCGGCTACATATTCACTTCAGCCTTCCGTAACAGTTCAGATCACGCCAAATTACAGCATCACATCAGATCTCATCAGAGCCAGATGTCATTATCTACTCGCATTCGACTGTCACCATGAAATTACCGCCACTGATGTGGATGAGCGTGTATGTGTGTGTGTGTGTGAGAGAGTGTGCGAATGAGATTGTAAATTGCGTACACAGATATGAATGTAAAACGCTTAATATACATTTGCATTTGTATGCATGTACGAGTATATGGCAAGTGAACACTTGCAAAATGGTTTTGCTAACACATGAATATAATCCATTAGCACTAGGGTTGGTGCAGGATTTCAAATGTTTTTAAACAATTTTTTGATTGAAATAAGCTTGCAATATTTTTACTATCTTTTTCACACTCTCACCCGGAGTATGGACTGTATATTAATTTTGTCATATCGTTTGTAACACCTCGAAATATAAATTTTAGACCTTACGAAGAATATATATATTTTTGATCATCATAAAGTTCTATGTCGATTTAGCGATGTCCGTCCGTTTGAGGAAGTAATTCTAGCATGCGAACAAAATGGTGTAAGCCGATCAATTTTACTCAGATGTAGTTTCTGTCTCCTGGACTTTTGCTATCGAAAATGGGTGAGATAGGTCCACGTTTTGGTATAAACCCCACATCACTGTACCGCCAGTTTTAAGGTGATTGGCTATTTTAGCCACAATTTTAACCCGAGTTTGCATACTACTGTCTATATAGGTCCAAGTTTTGGTATACTAGTTCCAATATAACTATACCTCACAATATTCGGTATTTTAAGGATTTTAGCTACATTTTCAACACAATTATATCAAACTTAGTGTTTAGAGTTCGTAATGGGTACCACCTTCTCTGGTAGATAAATGTCTGTAGAGGTCTACTGTTTCGTATAGGCCTTATAAGACTGTATCTCCATATATTCGGTATTTAGTACTTTTTACCAGAATTATTACAAATTCGGAATTTGAATTTCGCAATAAGTACTGCTTTCTATAAGAGACAATTGCTGATATAAATTCACCTTTTCGTTTAGCCAATATTAGATATTCCCAACATTCATAAACGGCACCACCTTCTCTGGTAAATAATTGGCAGTTTTCATATGATATTGACATATTCAATTACATTTTTTTACATTTTGCAATTTCATTCCAATTGGTGGAGGGTATTAAAATGCCGAAATTAGCTGTTTTTTATTTGTTTAAATATATGAGCAGTAGTTTTGGCTCAATGGTTCAATATATATAAGAGGTATATCCAACCCTGGTTCGATTTTCTCGAAATTAGACGGAGGCATTTGCCCCTCCGGACAATAGAGTGCATGATATACATAGGAGCTATATCTAAATTTAGACCAATTATCACGAATTTCATTAGGGTTTTGCGGAAAATTGTATCTCAAACGGACAATAAATGCAACCTACACTTTGTTTTCAAAAATACATGGACAAAGGGATATGCACAAAACCGACTCAATATGTGATTCTTTGGAAGAAAATATGGGTCTATTTCGATTCCATCTGCATGTTACAAACATATGCATAAAGACATAATACCATGTATTATAAAGTGGCGTACGGTATAAAAAATTTAATGTTCTCTGAACAGTACAAAAAATATAGGGATCTTTTCTTAATCCCATGTATCCATGCAACATATTCTAGCCATCGAATCGTTCTGGTGATTTCTTCACTAAAATCGATTTTATTAGAAAAAGCTTGATCGACCATATTTCCCAAAACGCCGAAATGCCGATTGCAAAAATTTACGAAATAACAAGAATCATTAACAATAATTGTTTCGCATCCGCCCTAATGTACCGGCGTGAAGCTTGATTGATACTTTATAATGTCCCGTGCGTTTGCATGTATGTAAGTTATTTAATTTTCATCCTCTTACAACACCCTCGAACACACGTTACCAAAAATAAAAAAAAAAAACAACAACATTTTCGATAATGATGTTTGAACACACCACAATGTTTGAATGCGTTTTTGTTTTATTATCGCTTATTATAAGCAGCTTATTGGGGCTTTTTTCACTTAAATACGGAACACTAAAGTGTATCTGGTATTATTTTTAATTTAATTGAAGAGGTATGTAGTGCAGTACACATAAAGCTAGTACGAAGGTTAGCCTCATGCCATAATGTGGCATTAACGATGGTTAGAATATTTCGCATCGAAATGAGATATTTTTAAATCAGTTTATATTGTGTTGCTCTAATTCGCCAAATCCCGAAAGTTGCATAATTTAGTGGGTGTTTGTGCTTGAAAGGGTTTTGAATTTTTAAATTTGTGCGTAGATATTAAAATTGTTTCAAATGACCAATTCATAGATTTAAAAAAATCTTATTGATAATATAAGATAATTAGTCCATATCCCTCAATCAGTCCATAACTGAGATTTTAACAAAAATTACTGATGTGCCGGCAAAAAAATCACTTTTTAAAATAAAAGTTTAAAAGAAATTTTAAATTTCCCATATATCAAATAATTGTCGAAAATTCAAATTCATTCGGATTCATGAATTGACGGTATTATTAACATTAAATTAAATTGAACATAAAGTATTGAACAATTATAATGTTATCAGTAACAGATATGATTTAAATAACAATTCTTTATAACATTCACCATACATACATTTGAAATATTAAAATCTCACATGTTTGTAATAAATGTCTAGTTAAACAAAAAATATAAAAGTATAAAAAAACATAAAACTAATTGTCACATAAATTTAACTCAACTGTTAGCCATGATTAACAAGTTTGTTGACTTTTAACCAAAAAAAATCCTTGTACAAATATTAACTTTTTATTTTTTTATTCGCGAATTTGTTGTGCGACGAGACAGAGAGCAACAATTTTATATTTTGAACATTTCCTCTCTATGTTGTTGTTTTCATAGATTTACCTTTCTAACGAAAAACATAAATTGGGTAGAACGAACTGAACAGCGGCTGCGGAAGCGGAAGGAAAGAGTTGGGGGATGTTTGCATAAAAAACGTAGCTCTAATGAATTTTATATCTACACTGATGGGATTTGCTGAATTTTTAATGGTTATAAATTTAGCTACCATATGGCATTTTTTATGGTCCCTATCTTACATGCAGCTACCTGGGTAGGTGTAGTGTAACGACCAGAATGTCAGTCTGTCGATGTTTGTGTGGGGACTATGAGTTTGCTTTTTGCCATACAAACCCTGGCCACACAAACACATCCGTTTTTATTTGAATTTGGTTTGCTAACTGGGTTAACTAGAGCCTCGAATACAGTTTTTAGTCAACACTCGACCAGCAAGCCACTCAAAAGGCTACTGACTGAATTCTACTAAAAGCCAAATATGGCTTGTGTTTGTTGTATTTCGTGAAGAGGGTCGATGGTTAGCAGGAGTGTTTATTCATATCTGTACAAAGGAGCATGGCTTCATCTGAAAGCATCGTCCACCACAGAGGACTTCCTTGTTTTTTAATTTTTTTTTGCGTACTCAGGTAACTCTCATTGAAAGTACGTTGGAAACATATTCAACATAAACTTTTGGTATTTCAAAACAAACTATAACATTTTCAAACTCCCATAGATTAGGTTGTACGTATACGAAGTGAACATTTTAGAAATAGTTTTCTTCACATTAATGGCTAAAGTAAAGATAGCAAATTTAATGAAAAAATATATGGGTTTTTCATAGCGGGGCTTTTTAAATGATTTATATATTTCTCTTTCAAGACAAGCTAGAAATCAGTGGGACACTATCAAACACTATGCAATGCGAAAAAATATCAGAACAAACCATATTCGACACTTGTTAACAGAAAAGATATTGTCATTCAGCTCGTCCCAAAAAAAAAATCTATATATATAAATGTAAGTTGTGTTAGTTACTACGCTTATAACTTAAGAACCGCTGGACTGATTTTAACGATTCACACAAATTCTCAATTGTCTCCTCTCCGAAAAGGATAATATCCAAAAAATCGCGTAAAAATGTGATATATTAACATTTTCATTTTGACTTTTGAAATGTACAATAGTAATGTTTTATTTTGCATGATTTTTTTCCATTTTGACTTAATTTTTTCTGATGTACATTTGTAGTGTTTTTTATATTTTATTTTTAAATTCGAATATTAATACGAATTATGTGGTGGCGAAACTGAATAGAAGATATCGAAATATTTTAATGCGGTCACACCAAATTTAAAAGATAATTACTTTTTCAAAATCGCTAAAACCATGAAAAAGATATCTCATTGCAAAAATACTCAAATCGGGAAAAAATCGAAAAAAAATTCAATGGAATCGAATTTTAAAATAATAGTACATTCTATTGACAAACTTTGCAAGGATCTTTAAACATTTGCTGTAAAAAATCAGCGAACAAGGTGAAGATTTTTTCAATTTGTTATTCTTCTTTTGTAAATTTTTTCTCAATTTGTATTATCATATTGAATTCCGTGGATTTTTTGTGAACAAAATAAAGAATAATTTTTCACTATATACAATTTTTCACCAAAAAAATGAAATA